CCACCCCCACCCCCCATTCCTTACGCTAAACAATTCGGGACGCGCAAGTATTAAGGGTGAACTAACCCTAGGTGATAATATTGTTTTCTTTGTATCGTCCAACATATCCTTATTTGTTATATGAGATACATTCGGTACTTTTAACTGTTTTAATATACCGATAACGAAACGGATGTAGATATTATTTAAATTCATGTTCAAACGGCAAATTCCAGAAACATATTTGTCTGACTTTAGTCTTAAGATTGATAAACAACAAGAAGGGGTCAAGAAATACAAGTTCCGCCTACTTCTCACCTGATTGGCTCGATCGATCGAGGGAGTATTGAGAGATGTTTTAGTTTTCGGACTACAATGAAACACACGACTGCTAGAGGACTAACTCCTTTGACAGCGAAGTCAGAGCAAAAGCGGGAAAGTAGTTGATTCAACGAGTTACTTTTATCTAGATTATATAAAGCAAAAGTATATCAACACTTGCTATAACGATTTAGGTAATTATGATAATTACAATTTCATACTTAAATCTTGCATCTACCAGATCTAATGAATCCCTGCTGTGGTTATAGAGTTACAGCAATAACAAAATGGTTCTATATTACATGGGGGGAAACAGCACCTACGAAAAAATGAAATATTCCAATGAGAACATTTTGTAAATAACAAAATGTACGCATTAAATTTTAAATTGCCACATGCTGACAAAATAACTAATGCGAATTGACAAGGAAATAAAACGTGTTTGTGTTTATAAATGTAACCAGGTTGTGCGGCAAGTGGTGTGTCACAGTACGAAATATTTAATAGCCCCCATGGCTTCTCACTACCGCCGCCCGCTCCCACAAGCCCTGTACGTTAGGGACACATTCTTTTGTGTAATTAAAAGTGGCATAGAGATGAAAAGTTCAGTTTTCTTAAAAGTTGAGTCATTTTAAAAGCATGGATGGTTGTTTACAATCATAAACTAATTTCGTTTTACGATGAATTCGCAATACAATCATATTACAATGGAACTTGCTAAGGAAACATTTACTTATGTATGAGAGTAAAAATCAAACAAAAGGACTGAATACGCGTCCGTAACACCTGGTGTAAAATAATGTCCTCAGTAACATCTGAAGGGAAGAGACTATACTGTCATAATGTCGTCCGTAACATCTGATGGAAAGGGACTGTACTGTCATAATGTCGTCCGTAACATCTGATGGAAAGGGACTGTACTGTCATACTGTCGTCCGTAACATCTGATGGGAAGGGACTGTACTGTCATACTGTCGTCCGTCACATCTGAAGGGAAGGGACTATACTGTCATAATGTCGTCCGTAACATCTGAAGGGAAGGGACTATACTGTCATACTGTCGTCAGTAACATATGAAGGGAATGGAATGTACTGTCATATTGTCGTCCGTAACATCTGATGGGAAGGGACTGTACTGTCATAATGTCGTCCGTAACATCTGATGGGAAGGGACTGTACTGTCATACTGTCGTCCGTAACATCTGATGGGAAGGGACTGTACTGTCATACTGTCGTCCGTCACATCTGAAGGGAAGGGACTATACTGTCATAATGTCGTCCGTAACATCTGAAGGGAAGGGACTATACTGTCATACTGTCGTCAGTAACATATGAAGGGAATGGAATGTACTGTCATATTGTCGTCCGTAACATCTGATGGGAAGGGACTGTACTGTCATAATGTCGTCCGTAACATCTGATGGGAAGGGACTGTACTGTCATACTGTCGTCCGTAACATCTGATGGGAAGGGACTGTACTGTCATATTGTCGTCCGTAACATCTGAAGGGAAGGGACTGTACTGTCATATTGTCGTCCGTAACATCTGATGGGAAGGGACTGTACTGTCATACTGTCGTCCGTAACATCTGATGGGAAGGGACTGTACTGTCATATTGTCGTCCGTAACATCTGAAGGGAAGGGACTGTACTGTCATATTGTCGTCCGTAACATCTGATGGGAAGGGACTGTACTGTCATACTGTCGTCCGTAACATCTGATGGGAAGGGACTGTACTGTCATATTGTCGTCCGTAACATCTGAAGGGAAGGGACTGTACTGTCATATTGTCGTCCGTAACATCTGATGGGAAGGGACTGTACTGTCATACTGTCGTCCGTAACATCTGATGGGAAGGGACTGTACTGTCATATTGTCGTCCGTAACATCTGAAGGGAAGGGACTGTACTGTCATACTGTCGTCCGTAACATCTGATGGGAAGGGACTGTACTGTCATATTGTCGTCCGTTACATCTGATGGGAAGGGACTGTACTGTCATACTGTCGTCCGTAACATCTGATGGGAAGGGACTGTACTGTCATATTGTCGTCCGTAACATCTGATGGGAAGGGACTGTACTGTCATACTGTCGTCCGTAACATCTGATGGGAAGGGACTGTACTGTCATATTGTCGTCCGTAACATCTGATGGGAAGGGACTGTACTGTCATACTGTCGTCCGTAACATCTGATGGGAAGGGACTGTACTGTCATATTGTCGTCCGTAACATCTGATGGGAAGGGACTGTACTGTCATACTGTCGTCCGTAACATCTGATGGGAAGGGACTGTACTGTCATATTGTCGTCCGTAACATCTGAAGGGAAGGGACTGTACTGTCATATTGTCGTCCGTAACATCTGATGGGAAGGGACTGTACTGTCATACTGTCGTCCGTAACATCTGATGGGAAGGGACTGTACTGTCATATTGTCGTCCGTAACATCTGAAGGGAAGGGACTGTACTGTCATATTGTCGTCCGTAACATCTGATGGGAAGGGACTGTACTGTCATACTGTCGTCCGTAACATCTGATGGGAAGGGACTGTACTGTCATATTGTCGTCCGTAACATCTGATGGGAAGGGACTGTACTGTCATACTGTCGTCCGTAACATCTGATGGGAAGGGACTGTACTGTCATATTGTCGTCCGTAACATCTGATGGGAAGGGACTGTACTGTCATACTGTCGTCCGTAACATCTGATGGGAAGGGACTGTACTGTCATATTGTCGTCCGTAACATCTGATGGGAAGGGACTGTACTGTCATACTGTCGTCCGTAACATCTGATGGGAAGGGACTGTACTGTCATATTGTCGTCCGTAACATCTGATGGGAAGGGACTGTACTGTCATACTGTCGTCCGTAACATCTGATGGGAAGGGACTGTACTGTCATACTGTCGTCCGTAACATCTGATGGGAAGGGACTGTACTGTCATATTGTCGTCCGTAACATCTGAAGGGAAGGGACTGTACTGTCTACTGTCGTCCGTAACATCTGATGGGAAGGGACTGTACTGTCATATTGTCGTCCGTTACATCTGATGGGAAGGGACTATACTGTCATATTGTCGTCCGCAACATCTGAAGGGAAGGGACTGTACTGTCATATTGTCGTCCGTAACATCTGAAGGGAAGGGACTGTACTGTCATATTGTCGTCCGTTACATCTGAAGGGAAGGGACTGTACTGTCATACTGTTGTCCGTTACATCTGAAGGGAAGGGACTGTACTGTCATACTGTCGTCCGTAACATCTGAAGGGAAGGGACTGTACTGTCATACTGTCGTCCGGAACATCTGATGGGAAGGGACTGTACTGTCAAACTGTCGTCCGTAACATCTGATGGGAAGGGACTATACTGTCATACTGTCGTCTGTAACATCTGAAGGGAAGGGACTATACTGTCAAACTGTCGTCCGTAACATCTGAAGGGAAGGAACTATACGGTCATACTGTCGTCCGTAACATCTTAAGGGAAGGGATTATACTGTCATCTGTAACATCTGATGGGAAGGGCCTGCATCGCCGTACCTTCGACCGTAATATGATTGGAAGGACCTGTACTTTCGTCCATTACACATGGTGAAAGAAGCCTAAATCGTAGAAATGTCCGATGTCCGCTACCCCTAACTTGCGAGCCTACATCGCAATACTGTCAGACGTCCGAAGCAACTATTTGGCGGGCGTACGTCGTCATACTGTCGAACGTCCGTTACCCCTAATTTGCGGGACTACATCGTATTACTGTCCGACGTCTGAAGCAACTAATTGGCGGGCGTACATCGTCATACTATCGCTTTTATTTTGCCGTTTTACGGTAGTCACACTTTTTCATTCTCTAACGAATAAATCAAATGCTGTGATGGCGCTATAAATAGCAAATGCAATAAAACCAGTTGAAGGGCCAAGTAATACGAGCTAGGCCATCAAAACAGCCATAATACTGTCCGTCTAGCATTCAAGTTACTCATAAATGAAACATGTCTATATAATTAGCAAGTTTGTTTTCGTTTGATTCGTATCTATAAAACGCCAACACATTCACACAAAATACATACATAACGGTAATAGCTTCTCGGGTCGTGCTATTGTAGGTAAGATGCTAAGGAACAAACGTAATGAAATGCAGGTGAAAGAACCATTGTACCATATATTTATCTGCAATTTTGTATGCACACAGACATACGTTAGTTGTAAAATGCACGTTTTTGTGTATTTAATCAACCACACTTACGGTGGTGAGCGAGTGTGAAAACGTGCCCGGCAATGTAATACGTGACCCGTGTTATTCTCGGTATCCTCGACATCAGCTGCTGTAACAGAGTTGAATGGTAGCGCCAACTCAAATACTACTACTACTCATCGCACGGTTCGTCTATCAGTCGGTTCGCGTGTCTGTTTTGGCGGACATCAAGTCTGTCATTCATTCATACACAGCCAGTGTAGGTTAATATCGGTCAATGGTTTCCCTATCTCAGATCGTCAGTTAATGATGTGCTGTCGATGTGTATGAAGCTAGTGCAGTGTACTCACCGTGCCGTTGTACGCTGGATACATGCTGCTCCGCTCCGATACCATGCGTTCGGTCACCACGCAAGGAACACACTGGCGATGTCAAGCGATGTTCAGCATCCTCGTTCTCTCTCCGTCTGTCTGCTACCATGACCGGGTGAGGTCAAGGTGAGGGGCGCCAGACGGGGAACTAGGGTCAAACGTCAAAGGTCATAGGGTCTGGTATATATTATATGGTATACGTTGTTTTTTGCATTATCAATATTCATGGTTAACATAATGCAAATACATACATATTTTTTGAGGTGCGTAGCTCACTGTATAGACAATACTAATTATGTACCAGAAACGTACTAAATTGAAAATATCAAAGGAACCAAGAGAAGATATTATTGGGATTTTATGTGTTTTGTGATTAAAATATGAGGAAGGAGGGGGATTAAATGGGTGCTAAAGGGTAATCATGGTTCTTAGATCTGATTGGATGAGCGGATATCCAGGCGAGTCAGTGTGTTATCGTTTTGTGTATGATAGCGGGTTTGACACGATTAGAAAAAAGGATAGAGTTGGTTTAAATTCGTTTCTCTGTGGTTAAGAATGCGTTAATGTGGTAGCAGTGTCGGCTACCCGATACCAGTGTAGCGCTAGTCGGGGCAGCTTTTATCACAGATTCTCTACAACATATTTCACGCCACGGTTTTTTTCACGTTTACAGTTTTCAAAAAGGAATTGTCTTAATATATCTGCACTCGAATTATCTGCATTTTTAGAGTCTTATTACAACATGACGGAAATGAGATAGGAAACCTATATATGTATGTGCGTATTTGTAAATAAACCTCGACGTCATAGGGTCAATTGGATACATAGATTGAACATTCAGCGCACGTGCACACGAAACGTGCATCGATTGTAAGAGCGATATTGACAGGTGTCATGTAAAATATCACTTACTCAGCGAAAGACTTGTAAGTATAAGTGTAGTTTTTATTATGGGAACAAAAAAATGAATCTTTCTACGTTTAACCATTTGATATCTGAGTATGACGATCTCGGTGAATGTGTGTTGTTTAGTGCTTAATCATACTTATATTTAGTGTCCCGTACATCAACCTGAATAATGATGTCACAGGCAATATAAAAAAATAGAGACCAATATATTTTTTCATTATAAAAGGTTTAATTGTTTGTGACAAACCAATTATATAATTAATTTTAGTAGTATAATGCATCTCTTTAAGTTAAAGGAAACCTATTTATGATTGACTTTGTCGGTAATATTAATTAGTTTGAGATTTACTGATGACGTGATATACGGATTTGCATTGATAAGTATCGCTTAACATTTTCATAACCACTTACCCAATAACAATTGAATGGTATCGCTTAACACTTTCTTATCTTCTTAATGGTGTCGCTTATCACTTCACAACAACCATTCCAATAACCACTGGATTGGATCGCTTAACACTTTCATAATAACCATCCAAATAACTACTGGGTTGGATCGCTTAACACTTTCATAACAACCATTGCAATAACCACTGGATTGGTCGCTTAACACTTTCATAATAACCATCCTAATAACTACTGGATGGGGTCGCTTAACACTTTCATAATAACCATCCTAATAACTACTGGATGAGGTCGCTTAACACCTTCATAATAACCATCCTAATAACTACTGGATGGGGTCGCTTTACACTTTCATAATAACCATCCCAATAACTACTGAATGGGGTCGCTTAGCACTTTCATAATAACCATCCCAATAACTACTGGATGGGGTCGCTTAGCACTTTGATAAAGCACCTCACTTTAACGTTCCACAACCTTCTTTCCAAACGTTCAAACAATTTGCACTTTGGTGACAAACAATATTACTTGTGTTTTACAAACGATGTTAGAAAGGTTACGAACAATGTTAGCTTGGGTCCATCAATGTACATGTATCCTAGGCAACAAACAAAATTACTTTGGCTACAAACGATGCTAAGTAGGTTACAAACAATGTGACCTAGGTTGCAAACAATATTACAAACAAAATAGATATTATGACAAGGATTTTATTGACAAAAGTGGATGCCTTTAAAATGAAAACATGCATCCCATTGACCTTTATTGAATTTCTTTTAAGTATTAAGCATCACTCTGCATATTAATTTTCCCTTTTGATCTGGCGTCCATTGTATGTTTTGTCCTTTTATATTTCATTTAAATATTTGATATTTTTTAGGACGTTACCGAAACTTTTCGCATAGAAAGTATCAAAATGATAGCAAAAGAACACACAAAGGATACGCAGTGATCAGGCAATGTTTACTCCGAACAAAGATGTGCGGAACGGTTCTCCTCCGAATGTTAATTAATCACCTTAACAAATCGCTTATTTAAAGTGGCAATATATTCTACGTTGTATTTATATCAGTTGAGAAATTGCTGAGGATATAACGAACTTACATCGAAATATGCACATCTTAAGTTATTATTTCTGTAGTCTGAATACACTGATAAAAATAATGTATGTACCAGCAGACTGATTTGACATTTAAATGGAAAAGCAACGGGAAAACATTTCATGGAATGCGCATTAAAATTTTGTTTACTCTGAACGGAATTTGATTTTTTAATATAAGGTTCTTGAAAATTATAAAAAGAATGCTAACGATGTTTGTCTATTTGTTGGTTTAGACGGGGCTGTGCATTATGTCAACGGTGACATAAAAATCTTCTGCTACACTACGAAGTTAAAATTCAAAACATATACGGGTTTGCTCGATTACAGATACAAAGTAGTTTGAAGGCAAAACACTATAAAATGGATGCATGTACATAGCAAATCTGAAAGATTATAAACGTATTTTTCTAGTAAACATGAACACGGACAAACGGGACTTTACATACATTACGTCTATACTGTCTGCTAACCCACTCCCCTCGATTCTAGATAGTGTTTAGTAAACACTCATGCGGAAGCTAAACATATGTCAGATAATTGATATAAATGTGACGTTCTTGTAGCAAAGTGTATGCATATATATTTCAATTAGAGAACAGTGAGAGAAGCGCACATCATTTCCCACTGTACCACGTTTTTACATACATTGTAGTATCTGATCTCTTGGTATCTTTTCAATCAAGTCCTTATTTGTGTTAAAAAACATTAAATAATCTCTTTCTTGCTCCTTGGCTAGTATCACACAAAGACGGTTATTTAGACGAAATGTTTATTTATGTTCAAGTTTGAATCAACTGATGTAAAGACATTATTGTATAGTACATCGCTACTTTCTGGTGACGCGACTTGTATTCTTGGCACGAGATCATTATTAATTTCACTACGTGTTCTAACAAAGGCCACTGTTTAGAAATCTACTTGAAATTTGCTCGAAACCGATCGTTGTTCAACAACCCAGGACATGTTTGTGGTTAGCTTGAAAACCATTAATGACTGCTTGGTTCTTTTGCGAGATAGTTTTAGATATGTCGACATCACCCTTTTGAACTAAAGCCTGACCCAGACATAAAAAGGTACTTAAGCAAACGGGAAAAGGGAACCTGTTTCATTTCAGTATTACGTAAAGATGTAGGTTCATTTCAATCATATAAAAATGAAAACTCATTTGAAAACACTACATTCATCAAAAAAAACCACTGAAACATTTTCAATGGTCTGATATGTATTTTACTCAGTTTGTGTATAGGACCCCCCTCGGTTTGTGAGTTCCGGTGTATATTACCACCCTCGGTTTGTGACTTCCTGTGTGAAGTACCACCCTCGGTTTGTGAGTTCCGTTGTCAAGTATCCCCCTCGGTTTGTGACTTCCGTTGTCAAATGTCCCCCTCGGTTTGTTAGATTCTGTGTATAGTACCACCCTCGGTTTGTAAGTTCCGGTGTATAGTACCAGCCTCGGTTTGTGAGTTCCGGTGTATAGTACCATCCTCGGTTTGTGAGTTCTGGTGTATTGTACCACCCTCGGTTTGTGAGTTTCTGTGTATAGTACCATCCTCGGTTTATGAGTTCCGGTGTAAAGTGCCACCCTCGGTTTGTGAGTTCCGGTGTAAAGTCCCCCCCTCGGTTTGTGAGTTCCGGTGTATTGTACCAACCTCGGTTTGTGAGTTCCGTTGTCAAGTACCCCCCTCGGTTTGTGAGTTCCGGTGTATTGTACAACCCTCGGTTTGTGAGTTTCTGTGTATAGTACCATCCTCGGTTTATGAGTTCCGGTGTAAAGTACCACCCTCGGTTTGTGAGTTCCAGTGTATAGTACCACCCTCGGTTTGTTATTTTCTGTGTATAGTACCATCCTCGGTTTGTGAGTTTCTGTGTAAAGTACCACCCTCGGTTTTTGAGTTCCTGTGTATAGTACCACCCTCGATTTGTGGGTTCCGATGTATAGTACCAACCTCGATTTGTGAGTTCCGGTGTATAGTACCACCCTCGGTTTGTTAGTTTCTGTGTATAGTACCACCCTCGGTTTGTGAGTTCCGGTGTAAAGTACCCCCCTCGGTTTGTGAGTTCCGGTGTAATGTTCCACCCTCGGTTTGTAAGTTCCGGTGTATAGTACCATCCTCGGTTTGTGAGTTCCGGTGTATAGTACCACACTCGGTTTGTGAGTTCCTGTGAATAGTACCACCCTCGGTTTGTAAGTTCCGGTGTATAGTACCACCCTCGGTTTGTGAGTTTCTGTGTATAGTACCATCCTCGGTTTGTGAGTTCCGGTGTAAAGTACCACCCTCGGTTTGTGAGTTCCGGTGTATTGTACCAACCTCGGTTTGTGAGTTCCGTTGTCAAGTACCCCCCTCGGTTTGTGAGTTCCGGTGTATTGTACCACCCTCGGTTTGTGAGTTTCTGTGTATAGTACCATCCTCGGTTTGTGAGTTTCTGTTTATAGTACCATCCTCGGTTTATGAGTTCCGGTGTAAAGTACCACCCTCGGTTTGTGAGTTCCAGTGTATAGTACCACCCTCGGTTTGTTATTTTCTGTGTATAGTACCATCCTCGGTTTGTGAGTTTCTGTGTAAAGTACCACCCTCGGTTTTTGAGTTCCTGTGTATAGTACCACCCTCGATTTGTGGGTTCCGATGTATAGTACCAACCTCGATTTGTGAGTTCCGGTGTATAGTACCACCCTCGGTTTGTGAGTTCCGGTGTAATGTTCCACCCTCGGTTTGTAAGTTCCGGTGTATAGTACCATCCTCGGTTTGTGAGTTCCGGTGTATAGTACCACACTCGGTTTGTGAGTTGCTGTGAATAGTACCACCCTCGGTTTGTGAGTTCCGGTGTATAGTACCACCCTCGGTTTGTGAGTTTCTGTGTATAGTACCATCCTCGGTTTGTGAGTTCCGGTGTAAAGTACCACCCTCGGTTTGTGAGTTCCGGTGTATTGTACCAACCTCGGTTTGTGAGTTCCGTTGTCAAGTACCCCCCTCGGTTTGTGAGTTCCGGTGTATTGTACCACCCTCGGTTTGTGAGTTTCTGTGTATAGTACCATCCTCGGTTTGTGAGTTTCTGTTTATAGTACCATCCTCGGTTTATGAGTTCCGGTGTAAAGTACCACCCTCGGTTTGTGAGTTCCAGTGTATAGTACCACCCTCGGTTTGTTATTTTCTGTGTATAGTACCATCCTCGGTTTGTGAGTTTCTGTGTAAAGTACCACCCTCGGTTTTTGAGTTCCTGTGTATAGTACCACCCTCGATTTGTGGGTTCCGATGTATAGTACCAACCTCGATTTGTGAGTTCCGGTGTATAGTACCACCCTCGGTTTGTAAGTTTCTGTGTATAGTACCACCCTCGGTTTGTGAGTTCCGGTGTAAAGTACCCCCCTCGGTTTGTGAGTTCCGGTGTATTGTTCCACCCTCGGTTTGTAAGTTCCGGTGTATAGTACCATCCTCGGTTTGTGAGTTCCGGTGTATAGTACCACACTCGGTTTGTGAGTTCCTGTGAATAGTACCACCCTCGGTTTGTAAGTTCCGGTGTATAGTACCACCCTCGGTTTGTGAGTTTCTGTGTATAGTACCATCCTCGGTTTGTGAGTTCCGGTGTAAAGTACCACCCTCGGTTTGTGAGTTCCGGTGTATTGTACCACCCTCGGTTTGTAAGTTCCGGTGTATAGTACCATCCTCGGTTTGTGAGTTCCGGTGTATAGTACCACACTCGGTTTGTGAGTTCCTGTGAATAGTACCACCCTCGGTTTGTGAGTTCCGGTGTATAGTACCACCCTCGGTTTGTGAGTTTCTGTGTATAGTACCATCCTCGGTTTGTGAGTTCCGGTGTAAAGTACCACCCTCGGTTTGTGAGTTCCGGTGTATTGTACCAACCTCGGTTTGTGAGTTCCGTTGTCAAGTACCCCCCTCGGTTTGTGAGTTCCGGTGTATTGTACCACCCTCGGTTTGTGAGTTTCTGTGTATAGTACCATCCTCGGTTTGTGAGTTTCTGTTTATAGTACCATCCTCGGTTTATGAGTTCCGGTGTAAAGTACCACCCTCGGTTTGTGAGTTCCAGTGTATAGTACCACCCTCGGTTTGTTATTTTCTGTGTATAGTACCATCCTCGGTTTGTGAGTTTCTGTGTAAAGTGGCACCCTCGGTTTTTGAGTTCCTGTGTATAGTACCACCCTCGATTTGTGGGTTCCGATGTATAGTTCCAACCTCGATTTGTGAGTTCCGGTGTATAGTACCACCCTCGGTTTGTTTGTTTCTGTGTATAGTACCACCCTCGGTTTGTTAGTTTCTGTGTATAGTACCACCCTCGGTTTGTGAGTTTTGGTGTATATTAGCACCTTGGGTTTGTTCATACTGTTCGATAGATACATGGGTATGTAGAAGTTGAAAGGGGATGATACTCATGTATGTTTTTAGTTGAGTTGGCAGCTCTTAAACATTTTGTTACCTTATATGGAATATTTAGCTACATACTATTTGCAATAACCTGCCAGGCCATCTGTAATAGTTGCTTACATAGTTCAGTATAGGTGAACTATCCCAGAAACGATAGCCTGCACCGTTAAAAAAACCCAGGAACATTCCGAAGTATGCATTAGCAGATTTCAAGTGTCAATGTTTACAAGTATTTACTAGCAGGTGAGCTGAGACCTACCAGATGGCTCTGAGATACGTGTGTTGTTAATCAAATACAAAACAGCCCGGAAAAAAACAAACATTTTTGAGTGATTTTTGTTTTGTGCTGTAAATTCCTAAGAAGTAAAAGTTATTTTCAAGACTTCTCTCTACTTTTTATTTTATTTATATACATATTTACATGTATATTACTATACAGATGTATATCGTACATCACTATACAGAATTTTGGAGCATTATTTCAGGAATTTATTTTACAATACTTCCAAAAAATTGTATTGTTCGATTTTAATAGATTTTGAGTGTTCATAAAGCTGATCACTTGTAAATTTTAGCCCTCATTTAGGTACCTTATCGTGGAGGAATGTCCTTGATTAGGGAGCGCGACATCGTAGGTCGCCAATCTTCAAACCGCTACGTTTTGTATTGTTGGAAGGCGTTCGTTTTCGTAGATTGTTTTCGAAATAAGTAGGAAATAAACTGTGTTCTACAAAAGATCAATATAATCTTGTCTTGTTTACCAGCCCAACATTTTAGTATCGTGTGTTTGATTTGGAGCAGGACAAATACCACTCTGGTACCTTTCTAACATTTAGAGCGGGGATCGGAAGATATACAACACTAGTAGTATTGTACATTTGTTACAAAAGATGTTCTCTAGATATATGTATATATGACATATGAACCTTCTTGGGATTGTCAATTAATTTAAACTAATTGGTGTTATCTTGAATTTCGGTTTCGTCGTCATATGTGTCTGATTGATAGGACGGCACCAAACTGTCGGAAGTTTTACTCCTTAAATGCATAATCTTTGACACAAAACGGCGCCATATCGCAACCTCTTGACGCACTTCCGGGAGAATGATCCATAGACATGGCGTAATCGAGGACGATGTCACCTGCAACAAGTACACATTCGTATATTCGTCCCATGTGAAACCTTTACACTTTGACTCAAATATTATACTGAAGAAAACGACACATGTAACTGGTAGCCAACACAACAGGTTGATAGAAGCTGCAACCCATACTGCGATAACTGACAACTTGAGACGGGCCTCGTCTGCGTATGCGCGGTTAGATGGTATCTTTCTCCAGTTACCTCCCCTGAGAATGTGCGTGGACAACATGATAGTAACGGCGATAATCAAGAGGATGTTTGGTAGAGCCAAAGAAATGCATGCCAGTGTTATCATGTGTTTTTCATGGAATTGAAAGAAACAAAATGTTGAAGGATTCTGACTTTCTTTGTCCTCAAAAGCCACAAACATGGGGATACACACAGTCACAAGGAAAATCCACGGAAACATAACAAGAAATATTGATTTTAATCTTAATGTTTTTACTCTTATCGACATGACAGTTTGAATCGAAGCAAAAATTCTGTCTGCACAGATACAGGTGAGCGCAATTCCCGCCATCAACATGTGCCAAAAATCAGCAGCAAACCACATTTTACACATCCAATCTCCATAACTCCACGACCAGTTCAGCTCATAGTCCAGTCCGAAGGGAATGACAAACATCACCATCACGCTATCGTATAAACACAGGTTGAGAATGTTCCAGAAAAGGGGCGTGGTCCGAAGTGTCTTGGAGAGTAAAATAAGAAGGACGAGCAGGACGTTGAAGATGATTCCGGAAACGGAAATCGTGATGTATTTTGCGTGGAGGGAGGCGAAGCGAGCGGGGTCGTCATAGCCGTGTTTGTCTGTATAGTTGGTGGAGGTGTTAACGTAGGGGATGCTCGGCCAGGTTGTCGTCATCTGCGGAATAAAGCATAAACATAAGCTGAATCATTTATTCTTAAAGTGTATTGCAAATATTTGACTGCATGTGAGGAATCAAAACCGTAAAGTGGAAAGTCAATGGTATGGTCGCAATAGTCTTGTTAAGACCCAATCGTCCCAGACGCCGGGAGTTGATAAGTCCTATTTAGACACAACTATAATTGTATCCAAGACGGCCATGTTTTGAAAAATCTTTTTAAAAACCCAACAGCTGTCCGAGACCAGACGCTGGGAGTTGATATGTCTTATTTAGACACAACTTTCCCAGGCCAGACGCCGGGAATTGATATGTCTTGTTTAGACATCGCTGTCCCAGACGCCGGAAGTTTATATATCTTGTCTGGACACAAGACGCCAGGAGTTTACAAGTCTTGTATAGGTACAACTGTCAAAGACGCTGGGAGTTGATAAGTCTTGTTTAGGTACAACTGTCAAAGACGCTGGGAGTTGATAGGTCTTGTTTAGACACAACTGTCCCAGACGCAAGGAGTTGATAAGTCTTGTTTAGTTACAACTGTCAACGACGTTGGGAGTTCATAAGTCTTGTTTATACACAACTATCCCAGACGCCAGGAGTTTACAAGTCTTGTA